ATAATTTATGCCCGTTACTAAGAAATCGAGTTCCTAGAATTACATCTAATCCTTGATCTTCACTGCAGCATTACATTAGTGACTGTTGTAAACATTAAGCAAGCGTAAAACCCTGAACGACGTGCATCAGAATGGTTTGGTCTGAAAGTCAAAGAATGCGACTAGCAATCGAGAAAGAGAAACTGGAGAAATATTTTCGTCTTGGAATTACATGGATTGACCCACAACATGAAACGAAAGTGGAAGTATTGGTGAGAAGCAACATGAATAGGGAGTATATACTTCGGATCTACATTCCGCAAGATTTTCCTAATTCATGTCCAGTACTTGTTGTCACTTCGCCGCTAAAACTTCAACTGCGGAACGGATCCCGACTTCCTGAAGCAAGTGATTCCTTCCACACCTTGGTAGACACAGATGGATTTCATCGAATATGTCATTTTTATCCACCCGACTGGACACAAGATATCACTTTATTTCAAGTCTTTATGAAAGGTTCTTGATTAAAATTGATGGTTTTATTCTCTCCCCTAAACTAACACATTTAACTTAGACTTTCATTTTGGGGCAGTACCATTTGCAAGGAAATTAGTGTATAACTACATTCACCAATTATATGTACCTTCATTCTAAAAATATAGAGAAAAGAAATCTTTGGTCATTGATCATTATTTTCTAAACAAACATTACTATGAGAATCGCTTCTTCACTCATGCAAAGCGGTTACTTTAGGGAAATGTTGGGAAGCGGGTTAAAACAGAGATACCATCGTGCGTTTAACACAAGGATTGAAACGATTTCCTATCTTAGCTCAAGGCAATGCATAACCCCTGAAATATGTTCTCTTCTCGTTGCATTAAGGTCGGTTATGGATTGAGGGTTATGAAGCACATTTGAGAACAGGCATGAAGATGAATGAATACCTCGGAGAACACAAGTTTGCAGCACAATCTGGCCAGAATAACCAGCAACAGTTATCAACCTTACCATCCTCGAGTGAACCTCAAAGAGGAGAGAGTTTATTAGTCGGATCAACACAAAACCAAACCCGATCAAATTCTTTCAGTCAATTCGGCTATCAACATGAACAAGCATTCATAGAACCTACAGCGATTTACGAGCGAGATACCATAGAAGAGACTGATTATGATCCTGCTTTTTATCCCCCCACGGTACCTGTCCAGAGAGTTTTACCAGAGGTAGCCCCCGCACTGCCCTCACGTCGCACCTTGAATGAAACGTTACGTCAAAATGTGCCTTTGGATACAATCAACAATAACGAGACATCATCACCGTCAGAAACAATCAATCCAAGTCGATACAGACCACCAGGCGGAATTGCTGTTTTGCCTCCAATTGTTGGACGAAATGCTCGTTTGCGACGCCCGGCTCCGCAAGTCAAACCAAAACCTCGCTCGTGAAAAAAATAAATTCAGTTAATAGCCTTGGAACAAGACAAATATGAAAGAGATAACTTATAGTTAAATAGTTTGTTTAAATTAGAAATGGACACGCATTAAGTAACCCATCCGACAAATGTATATATTCCAAGTCCTACATGAATATCACCAAAATGTTATGATATTTTTCTAAACATTCCAGTATCGTTTTGTACTTAAAATTTCTTCCGTAGTAAAAACGGATTGCTGCTTCCATATCAACAATTTTATATTTTACCAGGCCAAAAGACAAAAATGCACTTAGAAATGTATTATACAACAATAATATGAATAAACTTATCCTTGTTGTCTTTAAATTTGTGGTGCGCTAGCTCGTTTTGGATTTGGATAAATAATTAAAAATTTGCGTTTGGAGTGTTTTGAATTTGCGTTTGTGTTTTGAATTTGCGTTTGCGTTTTGCGTTTATGTTTTAAATTTGCGTTCGTGCTTTCATGATTTGCGTTTATGTTTTTGAATTTGCGTTTGTGTTTTGAATTTGCGTTTGTGTTTTGCACCTCTGGGCCACCGTAGTATTCCGTTTCCGCGTTTTATCCCAACCCCCGGGTTTGGTTTCATTGTTAATTTGTAACGTTTAAATTTGTAGGCCTCTCGTCTTGGCGGAATTTATTGACGATTGCGTTCGCTCCGCTCTTTTAAAACTAAATCATTTTCGAAAGACGAAACGCGAGCTGATTCTTAAACGCGTGCGAAAGATAGCGATAAAGATTTACTTCTTGGGAAGCATGCTTTAGCCGTTCTACCTAATAGTTATGATACCGTTCTACCTACTATAGTTACTTTACGTGGAAGAAAATGTTGGCAAATATAGATATAAAGCTGAGCGTAGTAGTGTTCTTGTTATTTTATCTTCACGCTGTATTACTGTATAAGAGATCAACTGATTCTTCAAATAGGCGAAATGCTTTCGATGGAAACGTTTCAGAAGTCACGAAGTCTCTACCGCAATATATTTATACGATCGCGGATAGTGCATACCTATATTTACATTGAGAATTCCTATCAACGATTGAGGCTTTAGGATTCTCATATACTACTTTCAATGCCAGGCGAATTCATAGGGAAAAAGAATTACTGATACACTCACACACTGTGTATTTATAAGTATATAAATAATATATGATTCACGAATTCACCGACGATATATAAAATATAAACACGACAGAGTCAGACATCTATTCTGTCGCCTCATACACAAACAACGACAGTGCCAGTGGCATTTACATTTTCCGCGCTGGCTTTTCTACCTCTTGTCCTGGTTTAAACCTTCTTTGGTGTTTCCTTTGAAATCCTAAATAATTATATTAATATATCGAAAAACCAGACTTCGAATCATAAATAAACATACAGCCGGCAAAATTCGCCCCGGTTGTGTTTTGTTTCTGTTTAATGTTTTTTTTATTTTTCGTCGTCGCAAGTCTGCGATGGCGCGAAATATACTAGCATTTGAAAGGTGTATGTGACCGTATTTATTTACGTCCCAGTCTTATCTCCCAAGAGTTGTGGTGCACAGCTTTGGCTAATTTTCCGATGCGCGATTCGATTTCGCTGGCATGATACGGCAATTCCTCCAAGAGGAACAAATAAACCGTTCTTTTCATGCTGTTCGTTAAGTTTAGATTGAATTGAGGTAAGAATATATTTAATACATGTAGTTCTGGTCCTATTTTAATAATATCGCTGCTATTTCGCCGTTTACAGGGACCGCGATCTAAATACATGTGATTCCTTTATAGCGATTTTTATATGGCCATAATAATACGAAGAAAAACTCCTTATAGTAAGTTGTGTAATCATAATTATGTGTTCACTATCCGTGTCGGTGAACAATGGAACAATTCGTCAGATTAACTCTGTTTAACTGCAAACATAGAAGTGTCTTTTGCTAACACACGGCTCCGTTCAAACCCCTATGTGAGATTTTTGACGAGGACGAACATTAGCCACCATTTAAAGAGCATGTGTGAATTTAATTATAAATAATTCAAACATCTTGAATAATCATCATCATTCATTACATTTTGGCGCGATGATTTTTAGGCATACGGACAATTTGTCGGCAACTTTACAGAAGGCAAATATGTCATATGAAAAATATAAATAGATAAGTATGGACCCCCTGGGTTCACTTTTTCGGCTTCGCTAGCCCCCCCCCCCCCAATCCAAAAACTGCTCCGCGGTCCCTGTTTCATCATTGGCTGAATCCCAACTGTATATTTACGGTCCAAACCAAGTCTTGATGTACTGGGGCCGGTTGTATAAAAACGTAGTTAACTTTAACTATGATTAGCGCTAATCACTGAGTTAAATCCTTAACTATGATTAGTTAACTACACAAAACGTAGTTAGTCGAATGACTAACTAAGTTGTTAAACAGAGAAATAGCATGAAGTATCTCGAAATTATTGACCGCTATTATTGATTTTGAACAAGACTGTGGACTCGTATTTACAAAAAAATTACAATATTTTGATTAATTTTAAAATATTGTAAAAAATGCAATGAAACCATAGGCGGCCCAGAACTGATCTCGCTAATCTCGCTGACCTCGCGCGACGCTCATGTTGTCTGAACAGTCTTATATTATGACAAGGTTGGCAACTCTCACGCCAAATAAGCTAAAAACGCACGAAGGTTAACTCGAACACCTTCACGAAACCGCAAATATTTCATAAAAATATGGCGAATAAGAAAAAAAAAGTACAACACATTAAACTTGAATAATTTTACTACATTTATATTATATTTTTAGCATTCAAATGTATTCCTATGCATGTATAAAACGTGAGTGTTTTTTGGGTTACTGGCAAATATATTTCAAAACCTATGCTGGGGACACCTTGCCTATACCTTCGTCATATTTTTAAATTGAAAATAGAAAGCTGATTGGCTGTCGTTTCAAAAGAGCTAGCGAGCGAGATCAGTTCTGGGCCGCCTATGATGAAACAAGGAAAAAGTTCAATTTAATTCAACCAAAACGGCGCTCTTAATATAATAAGGTCCCTTTGAGTCAAAATACCGGTTTCAATTGAAAATGGATATGGCTATAATCTTTGCTAGGATCGTATTAATTTGGCATCGACACGTCTCCCGAAGAAAAATATACTCCGCTGCTGCCCAAATGACAAAAATAAAAGGATATTGAGAGTTTACAAGCTTCGACGGGGCCTTCTCTGAGTGGATAACGGTTGAAAATCTTGGTATATGTTGATTTTAATGTTTTCTCACTCCTCAAAAGCTCAATTAAGACGCCATTTTTAACTACGATTTGGAAAGTTAACGATGCCCTTGAGGATAGTTAACTTTAAGTATATTTTAACTACAGTTAACGCTAACTACGTTTTAATACAAGTGGCTAACTGCGTGATTAAAGTTAACTACGTTTTAACTACAGTTGGGTGGTTAAAAAGTACTGAGTTAAAACGTAGTTAAGAGTTTTATACAACCGGCCCCAGTGGGTTTCGAAAATGTCAATTTCAAATCAAACAGTCAATTTCGTTTAAACTGTGTACTTACAGCGTGGTTTGTACCCTGGGCGACACATCGCACGAGACGAGGCAGCTCATCGTGAAGAGAAGCGAGGCCTCATAGAATTTTACGTCGTCGGAAACTGGCTTCGAAGACAGCTCTCTCTCGAGAATATCATGTGGCTGATTGGCTTGAAAAACGTATTTTCAACTACCACGAAATTAATACGATCCTAGCAAAGATTAGCCATATCCATTTTCAATTGAAACCGGTATTTTGACTCAAAGGGACCTTATTATATTAAGAGCGCCGTTTTCGTTGAATTAAATTGAACTTTTTCCTTGTTTCATCATAGGCGGCCCAGAACTGATCTCGCTCGCTAGCTCTTTTGAAACGACAGCCAATCAGCTTTCTATTTTCAATTTAAAAATATGACGAAAGTATAGGCAAGGTGTCCCCAGCATAGGTTTTGAAATATATTTGCCAGTAACCCAAAAAACACTCACGTTTTATACATGCATAGAATACATTTGAATGCTAAAAATATAGTATAAATGCAATAAAATTATTCCAGTTTAATGTGTGTACTTTTTTTCTTATTCGCCATATTTTTATGAAATATTTGCAGTTTTGTGAAGGTGTTCGATTTAACCGTCGTGCGTTTTTAGCTTATTTGGCGTGAGAGTTGCCTACCTTGTCATAATATAAGACTGTTCAGACAACATGTGGCTGATTGGCTTGAAAAACGTATTTTCAACTACCACGAATGCCGAAAGAATATATCACGAGATTGGTTTTTGATCAGTAAGTGAACCAGTTAACTTTAGCTGCAAACTAAAGCCTCGTTACACTACACCTACACTCGATTTATTGGCACGGTCAAAATGGATGCCCGTGCTTTAAATTGCTGTGCATCAAATTGGATGCAGGTACCAATTTTAGCCGTTCCGTACCTCTAAATTGACTGCATCATTCTATAAAGAGCTTCGTCCTACTTTAGATGTTTTGGTTGTTAAATGTATGCAAATATCATCGTAGATAAATTGTACTGATAATTTGCTCACTTTAACTTCATCTAATGATCTGCCATCCAAGCCAATTTGTTTAGCAACAAAACAACGAGATGAATTTTTACTGCACCCATGTATAAAAACTATCGCACAAGGTAAATTTGCTTCAGTCTCGAACAACGGTTTTTCACTTGTGTGAAACGTTATAGACATTAAAATAATCTCCGGTTTTCTTAAAAAGTTGAGATTTCGATTACCATCACGCATTCATAACGGGAAAAAAAATTGCGATTAGCGGCTAGTATTTTAGACCATTTGGCTTCTAAAATCCGCTTGCATTCAAATATGTTTGCTAATTTGCATGCTAGCCCGGACTAACAATTATGATCTTATTAACTGTCCTTCTTTCGGCGTTCAGTGATTAATCGTTGCCAAATGCAAGCGTAAATTGAATATACTAACCAAAGCCAAAGCGTAAATTGAATATACTAACACATTAAATTTTATTAACCCGCACTATGTCAATAGTTCTCGGCTTTATGTCAACGTCACACTTGTTTACAAATTATTATCAGACTATCAGTATAAGGAGCTAAAGAAACTCGTACGATTTTACTCATAAAATGTTTGTATAGAACATTTACCGTCTAAATCTATATTTCCCATATAAAATTGAAAATTTAATAAATAACTATAGCTACATGCCGTAATTCACAATGGCGATATCTAAAAACGATACTTCCTGTTGACTTGATATGGACCCGTGTGGACAGGTAACTGGTCAGGTATACCTATATAACATGAAACGACTGATCCTTTTCGTTTAACTAAATCTTCACTCAGTAAGTTGTCATAGAACTCAATTAAAGTATATAAACAGCCTACGAGGGGTGTACAGCTTCCCCTGGCCCTGACAATTCACCTCCCTGTGGGTGTACTTTGCAGCAAAAACAACCAAACAGCTCCCTCAGACCAGTCCTGTAAGCTCTGTTTGAGAAACAGTAGATGGCTGGATTAATACAAGAATTGGCAAATGCCAAGCTTTTGAAGACGAAATGAATTGTTGTACCGAGCTCCGTCAAGTTAACTTGGGACAATGCGTAATAGAGTTGATCCGGCAGCCAACATACGATTATTATACCAGAGGCAAAAAAGGCTGTTGTTGTGACTCTTTTTAGGGCTTTCAAGGCATTACTTTTTCTGACCATCCTCTGATTGTTCCTAATCACCTCAATTCGGATTTCGGATCTCTTCATGTGGACTATAATCCGACTGTACGCTATCACCATGAGTGCCCCAGGTACGACTATCATGCCCAAGAACGTGAATGTCGCGATGACAATCGTTTTTGAAGAGTATTCTGGCGTCTTCCAGGCGCATGAAAAGCTGCCGTTGACTTGAGTAGTGGTTGCTCTCAATGGCGCTGTTATTTCAAAGCATGTTCCGGCTATCCAAGGGAAAAGCACGGTCGAGAACACAACAAGCTTCGATTTTTCATACTTCTTAAAAGTTAAGGGCATAACAACCGCTAACCAGCGATCGAAAGTCAGCATGAGGCAGGTGTACACGGAGGCTATTCCCAAAGCGAAGATAAAGAACTGGGACCAGAATAGCTTGCAAAACATCCATCGTAATGTTCGGTCCGGTGGTAAAGTATATGCGTCTTCGTCCAAGATATATCCAGGCAAAATCGCGATAAAGATGGCTTGAAGAATATCCTGAACTGCCAAAGCAAGAATTAAACAGTTATAAGTCTTCTTCAACAACTCTGACTTTTTGATGAAGAGCAGGACTGTCAAACTATTTCCAAGAAATGCAATGATTGAGATGGCCGTGAGGACAACTTTTCCGTACACCATTCTTCTGTTTTGCCGTCTTGTCAAAGATCAAGTCAGAGTGGGGTTAAGATGCAGTTGTCCTGCAGTTTACGAAAATATATTATTTTCTGCCTACTACTCAATTACAGTTCTTCTTTTCGATCAGACGTCATTCTATAAAGAGCTTCTTGCTACTTCAGAGCATATATTTTGGAGGTTGAATGCATGCAAATGTCATCGTAGATAAATTGCACTGATAATTTGTTCAACTTCAACTTAATCTAATGATCTGCCATCTGCTAGTTTTTACAAACGTCAGTTATCAATAAATGCAGAAATAAGTTGGGATTCTGAATAATTTCTGATGTAGACCTTTTCCTTGCTGTGCTTCTAAATTTTTCATATTCGATCCTGTGAGCTGTATCGTCATCTACTTAAATCATGTAGCATTCGACAGCGATCGAGAATAAAATCTTTAAAAAAAATTCACCTGCGTCAATCAATAATGTCTAATTACCGTTACATCTCCTATATCGATCAGTTTCCGGGGGAGTAAATAGACATGTCTGTGTGCTAATTAATGTCGAAAAAGAATTTATTTTGTCGAATTGAATATAAATTAGAAACTCTTTATTCTTTACTAAATCAGCTCTTCAGCCCGAGCATTATTAAATTTTTGTATAAACGTTCTGAAGTGTGTCCCTATTTCTTTCAAAAAGAAACCTTGTCGTATTATTAAAATTTATAGTTTGCATGATTTTCGCCTTTATGGTAAAATATACGATTAGGCAAGCTCCTCTATCCCTTCTCAACTCCCAAGGTCTTTCAAAAGTCCCTCTTACACGGTACAATTTTTCTTGCAACTTGCAATGCAATTCTATTTTTAAGAGATGTAAATTAGTGAAGAGTCCTCGACTCTTCGTCCATGGAGTATAACTAAATAAACATAAACGTTTCGTAGTAGCGAAAGACTTACAATCTCTCAAAAGTATTATTGCATTGCAAGTGCAAAAAAAATTGCACCGTCCATATATACATGTAAGCGGGCCTGAAGTCGAATGCCAATTGGTAACTCTAATTGGCTGGAATACTTGGGATGACAGATCTATACTGAAATATTATACTCATAATGAACGTTTAATTAAGTTTCATGGGGTAAATTATGAATATTTAACGAAGCGAAGCCGAGTTGAATTTTATTCCATCCTGCACCCAATGAAAACATTCTTACCATCGCAGGAATAAAAAAATCATCATTTGCTTTATATGACACCAAAGTAGTTCTAATGCTATTGAATTATTTATAAGTAAAAAGTTTGTGTTTATAAACTACAATCCCATCGGCCATATTATTTGGATTAATGCCTGTGAGCACGGTACGATTATTGCCGTCAGCGATGTGATATAGTGAAAGCGATCGTGCTATTGTATAACTGTTTGCACGACTAGATCTGCATGGAATGAAACCATCATTGCACGGATCAGTAAAATGGAATTTTTTTGTACAGGCGATCAAAAACAACAAATTAAAAGACATTAAGTTAATTAGCCAATGATTCCAACGACAGTATTCAAGGTGGCCAACGGCCGGGGCGACGGAGGGATGTCCAGGGTTTGGGAATAAAGAGGACGAATATCTTACTATCCCTCCCAAAGTCTCCCATGCATGGTTCATAAAATCATTTCACTTTGTAATTGATATATTCATTAAATTAATAATAAAAAACTGTAAACATTCAAGCTCGCACTGAACTATATGTCTGATAGGTCAAATGTTCTCATCACTTGCCAGAAATTTAAGACATTGCATCCTTCTCAAGAATGTTGCAAAGAGTTCCATCCAAACTCCATCAGCAACCATATCAAAACAAAACATGGTGGTGATCATAGGAAAGATATTACTTCATCGAGGCATTTGAGTGGTGTTTGTGTTGACTCATCAAATGGAATTTACTTGATTCGGTAACAAATGCGAAGAAGTGACTATCCAATCCATTGCCAATTTAAGATCAATCACCCAACGTCCTTTGTTGTGAATTAAGTACCACAGCATCAGGAAGTGGACAATCTAATTTTTATGGGACCTCACTTGTTGCTCCCTCATTTCATCTCAAAGAGGAGTCATTAAGCTATATTGTAGACACTTTAAAGTGGTTGAGGTCGGAACGGAAAGTAAAATTCTTAGGGTGGCAAAGGCGGTCTTCTATCCTTGGTGTACCATTAGTTGTGCAAATGCCTATCTCCACGGATTCACCTCGCTTTCTTCACTTTTCAGTTTTCGCCAACGTCAAAAGAGATTACTACTGGTCCTTCTGTAATCGTGTAGTAGTCTCTTTTGACAAAGACGGCTCTTCTTTTCATTGTAAATGTTGCCGTTCTCGCCGAGATGAGTTGTGTGACACTTGGACATTTGATATGTTAAGAATGTACATTCGCACTGATAAAAACATAAAAATCGATCTCGCACATTCAAGCTTATTAACGCTTTAGATGGATGTATGGCATGGGTTGTGTGTGTGTTCCTTTGGAATTTCTCTAATAACACACAGGGCCAGATCCAGTTATTACCTACATAGACTGCATAGGTAGCCCAAAAATCTGTTTGTACTCAGCCTTTGACTACATTGTTTACGCGCGCGGTCATCTTTTACTGTCTGTACTAATTACTGTGTTATATATTGTCTGTATTAATTACCGTGTATTATATGTATGTATTATATACAGGGTGAGTAAAAAACTGACACCTAACTAAAAAATACAGGAATCGCACATCTACTATAATACATATTACATAAAGTTTTAGGCAATAATACGGAAATAATACGGCTGGTTACAATAATTATTTTTTGCGCGAAATTTAAATTAGTGCGCGAAAATTAGTGTTTGTCTCAGTTTGTCTTTAATTTACTCCTATTTTCTGGGTTTGTCTTCAATTCACTTCTATTTTTTGGTCGATGGTTACACACATAGACTGGTTGCCTAGGTGTTGGTTGTGTGTTCAAAAGAGATGGGCGTTAGCTCTCTACATATGGTGGAGGGTCTGGGTCTGGGATATTTTATGTCAAGAGAAACAGCTTTAAAGTTTTTGCATTCATTAAAATAATTGTTCAACAATACAACACAATGCGTACAGAAACGAAAACAATACAACAAAAGAATTGTATGCCATATTTACGATAGGAAAAGTCATTCCAAACTAGCAAAATTCCGTCGTCTTAATCATACATACCCACATAATTAAATAGCTGCAAATCCATACCCATATACAATACCCAGACAATAATTACTATTTAATTACTACCCATACTTAAATTTTTCAAAAATGAAAAAGTGACCCAAATTAATGTAGTTCCTCATAAAACAACACGAGAAAGCGTATGAGATTTTTGGAAATCTTTAGGGATTTTTTTTAAAAAGATAAAAGACACCAAGTGATCACTGTATAGAATTGACAGCGGTATTTTTTAGCACGGAAACGTTATGTAATATGCATTATATTAGATGTGCGACTCCTGTAGCAACTTCCAGCTTCTATGGTTGCTCTCTCCATTGTATAATATATTGCTCAGTGAGCTTCATGTGCACAAAACTTTGTAAATATGGCGTCCATTCCATAACAGAATTGATTCAAAAGGTATCGATTCGTAATGCTTTATACTGTATATTGCTCAACGTTGATTTCTGTGTTGATTTCTGTCATTCATTGACATTCAGAACCCATTCTTTAAAGCAGACTGTGTCATTACCTTCATACCAATTAATTGGGACAATAATCACCGGAGTCTTGGGGTAAGTAATTTTTTTTTAAATTCGAGTATAATAGGAAAACAATTTCATGTTTTTTTTATAATTTTGTAATGGAAATTAGTAAATATGACATATGTAAAACATGAAGACTTCATTTAGAAACAAGTGCCTACCCTGTGTTAGCTGCGTTTATAGAACTGCCTTTCAGGACTCAGGTTAAAGGGTTAGGACTTGTGCATGTATACATTCAGTATATGCCTCCGTTTCAAAAATCTAAAAAACGAATATTCTATTTAGTCATTCAACTGGACTGTTCTTCTAAATAAATCCTTATAGCTAGGTAGTGGACTAACTGGACTTTACTTCATGTACCATATTTCTGTATGACCCTATAGCTATGGCGATGTTAAGAGAAGAGAGAAGCTTCCACAAAAAAATTAGGTAGGCCTTCATGAAGGTAGGCCTTCAATAGACAGATAAATGAAGTGTTAAAAAAATGTTTTGACATTGATGTATTTACTTAACATTCACTTAACTTATAGATTACTGATAGCACACCTCCAAGCAATATGTCCAAAAACGAGTCCACCAGATGTGAAATATTTTGATAATTCCACAAAATTTGAACCAAGACAACTTGATGGAAGTTCATGTGGGGTTTTTGTATCCATAGTAAGTGAAAATTGCATTTGATATAAATTATTTATTATATTATTGTTATGTTTTTACCCATTGCTTAATTAATGTCTAGCGGAATATTTTGTTGTAGGTAGCTGATTATATGGTCAATGGTTTGGATGTGAACTTTACACAGGTAATCATATCAAAGTACAATTTCTAGTAACTACATCATTTATTAAACCACAGAAAAAATCTTGCTGTATTTTAATATGTTTAAAGTTAAATCATATTGCATTATTTACCTAAAGGAAGACATACCATATGCTTAAGGAAATACATGGCTGTTCGCCTAGCAAATCCTTATAGATAAATTATTGCTATTCTTGTTCCTTTATGTAGTTAAGTATGTAGTTGTGTAGTTAAAATGTATTACTAAGCAAATTTTTTATATAAAATATATTTTCTAGCAAATATTAACTTTTGTTTTGGACTTTCACGTGGGGGACATATCCGCCGGTCCTACTAATGAACGCCCTGGAATGCCCGGGGAGATTCGTTGAATGCCCGGGAATCGGAAAAGAATGCCCGGGGAGAAATCATGTAAAAAATCACGGTATAATTTAAAGTTCTAACTATGAACAGTTTATTATTTGACTGAAAATACCTTTTTCATAATAAGTTGTCACTCACGTTTTGAAAAAACATTGCCCGGGAGTCAAGAAAGAATGCCCGGGGGGCGGCAAAATCATGCGTCAATATCATATAAACGACCATTGTATATTATAGAAAATCATTGTAGGCAAGGTACACAAATGATAAACTATAACAAATTTTTAAGTTAGGGATGCAAAGTGATAATATTTTATTACTGTTTCTATAAATGTAGTACTTCGTAATAACAATGAGATAACACGATTGAACTGGATACGATCAAGCACTAACGCGCATTAACTATTTACATTCGTGAACACATAACACATATTACATGAACTTGACTTACATTTTAATCTTGAATTGCCCAAATATTATTAGCGTTCAAATTTTTTCTTTGTTCTTACACTTTTTACTCTCTTTTTTTGGCCTGGTTTCCTTGCAATTGTTGGCATTCTTGGAACACTCAGGCATCCATCTGTTGAAACCACCTGTTTTTTCTTAACTTGCAAACCATTCATAAATTTTTTGAACAATTCGTCTTTTTCTTCCTGCGTTTTTTGTCTCCAATTCTATCCGCGGGGGGGGGGCACTATCCGCAGTATATATTGTGCAATCACTACCGTATATGGAATACGTACGGTAGGCGGTACCTACATACATATGACCATTGCTCTCATTAATTGTTGTCATCTCACGGCACAAGCCTTTGTTGTCATCTCCGGCACAAGCCTTTTCAATCATCGTTGCGAAAAATGTTCAACGTCTTTTGTTTTTGCCTCGTTTTCTTTGTCATTGCTTACCAGTCAGCGGGCGAAAACACTAAAGTTGATGTTCTCATTTTGGGGGCTGGTATCTCTGGAATATCGGCGGCAAATTACTTCAATAACAACGGCAACAAAAACTTTTTGGTGCTTGAAGCACAGGACTACATAGGGGGAAGATTGAAGAACCGCACTGTTGGCAATTCGACGGTTAGTGAGGGTGCAAATTGGATATCATTCGTCGAAGAAGGTTGGTAAGAGTTATGACTTAGTTGAAACGTTACATTTACGTTTTCATTCAATGGGGTCACGTGGATGTGTTTATATTGTACTAGCTTTAAATTCGACATAAACCAAACGACGTACAGGCGGTACAGCATAACTTGATAACCAGGGAGCAGAGTGGCAGCGCCTTAAAGAAACTTAGCATCAAATGTGGTATAAAAACCGCCTAAAATAGACAAAACACTTCTCGACGTTTCGATCTGCGGGCCTTCGTCAGGAGAGTTTAGTATAGCTATATAAACTCTCCTGACGAAGGCCCTCAGGTCGAAACGTCAAGAAGTGTTTTGTTTGTTTTAGGCAGTTGTTATACCACATTTGACCTACAGCATAATTATATATTAAACGAAATGATTCAATATTTTCCCCACCTTCCGATATATACGAATTGTTCCTGCATACAAGTTACCCATGTTATCATAACCATTGTGAAGCGCGCACCACATTCAACACGATAATCAAAAACACCATATGACTCATTTCCATCGGCATGGTAGAAAACACGGATAGTCGGATACCGGATAAACGGATACACGGATAATATATTCATATGATCAGAATTTTCTTAATTAACAATGATTAAGAAAATGTGAAATGGCTCATCAATGTTTCGTATTCAATTATAAAAAGACAAGTATCGGAATGTCGTTCTCACAAATTGAAATATTAGTCAAGTTAACTTTAGTCATACTCATGTCTCATGCCCCCAGCTTAATACATGAAACATATGAACAAGTTTAAATTAAACAAACATACATCTACAATCCACGCGTAAAGATGGATAAACGGATAGACAGATACAAAATAATGTATGAGAATAATGACCAGTTCATCTATTCATATGATCAGGGTTGGCTCATGCCACAGAATTTTTTTAAGACAAGTATATCGCAATGTTGTATAGCTATTTAAGTCCTCGCTATACCCTAACAAAACGTTCATTTTAAAAGCAAATAAAACATATAAACCCCTATACTAATTTATGTCTGTTGCATTCTCAAATTCCAAAATTATTCCTCAAATGATGTCCATGGATAAACTGGAGGTTTGCTTGAATTGCTGTAGCGATTGGACATAACTGGTACGAATGAAAGTTTCGTTCTTTGCGTCTGACGCACGACAAATTGCAGTGAAAGTACACATTACCTACTTTACTCCTCGGTTGTCCTTAGTATGAATACTCACGGGGCATTTTGGATACAACAACTAAATCATTTGGTGGAACTGGAATGCGACCAAAATTGAATTATGCTTCTTTTTTACGAAACAGCTAGATATGAGTTGTTAACTTGTTATTTTATATCGAGTTAGTACGACTCTACGCGTGGATTGTAGATGTATATTTGTTCAATTTAAACTTGTTCATATATTTCATGTATTAAGCTGGGGGCATGAGTATGACTAAAGTTAACTTGACTAATATTTCAATTTGTGAGAACCACATTCCGGTACTTGTCTTTTTATAATTGAATACGAAACATTGATGAGCCATTTCACATTTTTTTAATCATTGTTAATTAAGAAAATTCTGATCATATGAATATATTATCCGTTTATCCGTCTATCCGTTTATCTGTCTATCCGTCTATCCGTTTATCCGGTATCTGACTATCCGGTATCCGACTATCCGGTATCCGTGTTTTCTACCATGCCATTTCCATCAATGAAACGTTTGAAATTCCAATATTGTTTAAAATGCTTTCTAAACATTTATTAAAATGATTAATGCTCGAAATCGATCAATTAGAGTGTAAACATTATACATTATTACTCTTTGTGTACCATCGTATTGAAACTTTTCCACCCGGGCTTGTCCAGACACCAGGCTGTAATTGTAGTTGATCAATAACATGGCGAAGATCTTCAAAATTTCGTAGCAATTTCAGACAACCTTTTTTTGTGAGTTCAGCAATCGAATTGTCCACGTTATCGCATTCGGCGGAGTTTTTATCGCCCTCTGTACTGCATGTTTAATACTTCCACACTTTCATCATGATTTCTCTTGATTCAGTGAATTGATCTCAGACATTTTGTTGAATTTCATCTCTATAAAGTAAATAATTGTATTCACTGTACTCACGGTACCAGCACACTGTGATAGACACGCCAATGGCGACTGACGGCCATCTTGAAAAATCAAACGAACCGTTTACATTTGCGAACACATTACACATATTACAGGCTAATATAAGCTTTAAGGTTATAATATGAACAAAAGCTTTTAATATAAGCGGGGATTCCAAAGTGTAAGACAAAGTGAACGTAAACATATCATGCGATTTATTTACATTTTTGAACTTCTATACTTTTTAAAGTACGATGACAACTCTATATAACATCTATATAACAACTCTACTGTATTTTAAATTAAGGTGATAAAAATCCTATTCTGAAACTCGCGGATATACTGAAGCTCACCAGATATCAAAGCGACTATAACGATATTGCTGTCAGGTTTGTCGAGCATACGATATGTGCATATTTTTATCACCTTAATTGACAAATATTATTATTATTATTCATGGTTTATTGAACACATTGCAATAGTGTGATACAGCTAAATTATTATGTGTTTATATATACATCGATATAAAATTTTATACATTTAAAGTCTATCTAAGAATAAAATTACAGTTATTAGTGTATAATAGGGTCCATGCACTAAGAATATTAAAACTATTATAAGTATATATGTATTTATATATAGATCTAAAAATTATTTATATACAGTTATTGCAATACTTTCATTAAACTTATCAATAGTCATAATACAATACGTTTGTTAAAAACTATTTTAAAAATTATATACAGTTTATAGATTATATAGATCGAGTTCTTTAAACTATACTTTCGTTATATTGATCAATCGCATAGACCAAAGGACTATTTTTAAAACGATCTGTTCTACAAGTAAAATTATAAATTATGTCATTATTTGCTCTTGTTTGCCTGTTTTTGATACTGGAATGTTTATCAGGAAGCAGTTTGTGTAATTTATGGCTCGGCTGGATCATATTCTTTATGAGATCAATGCATAATTGTTTTCTTCGTTCTTTTAGCGACTTTCTATTAGCGCTTCGTTATATTCTTTTCCGGGGTAGATGATCCTAAGCGCTCTTTTTTGGATTCTTTCGATATTGCTACTTTGTTCTTGAGTCAGGTTTCCATGCCACACCTGTGCTCCATACTCAAGAGTGGACCTTATGATAGCACAATAGAAGGATTTTAGATCTTCTTTGCACGCCCCGTAATTCTTGAGGATTTTTAAAAAGTAGAGCCGCTTGGAGGCTTTTTTAATTATAAATTCAGTATTTGTCTCCCATTTCAAATCATTATCCAGCCAGATTCCCAGCGACTTATATGATTTTACCCGAGCAATTGGTTGGTCGCCAATATTTATTGGTGGAATACTTGTTTTTTTCTTTCTGAAGTCGAGGATCATCTCTTTACATTTGTTCCCATTTAGTTCCATTTTTTCAGTCTTTGCAAAGTCAACTACACCATTCACGTTTTCTTGGGTTTTTCCGACTGATGTGCCAGATATATGATTTGATACATCGATCACCTCAGATAAGGACGTATCATCCATAAACATTACTGTCCGCCCCTCGTCTGTATCGTTTTGGTTGGTTGTTTCAATCATTTCCCATTTTGTGATTGAGGGAAGTTGGTTTATTTTAATAATGAACGCGATCGGTCCCAATCTACTTCCCTGGGGTACCCCTCCATTAATTTCCATTCGCTCTGATTCTGTACCCTGATATGAAGTCGTTTGTGTTCGACCTTGTAAGTACGATGCTACCCATCCAATCAAGCCAGGGCGTATACCGATATCACAGAAGTTTTCCAAGAGGCGGTTATGATCAATTAGATCAAAGGCTTTACGGAAATCGAGAAATGTAACTCGAATAATTTTGTTGTTTTTTTCTATCGCAAGATACCACTTGTGCAATTGAAAAATTAGTGCATATACAGCAGACATTCCTGCTAGTCCTCCAAATTGGGATTCGCTAATTTTGCTATTAGTATCCTTTAGTATCCACTCAACAGCATATGACTCTTGAAGTTTGGAAAGGGTGCTAGTCAGGGCAATTGGCCTTAAATCTTCTACTGATGAAACTGGATTAGATTTCCATACATCCGGAAACGTTTGGCTTCTAAACAACTGATTAAAGATATCTGCTAGTGGCACAGCAAAGTGTTCAGCAAACGTCTTTATTACCTTCATGTTTGGATCAAAAGGGCCAGGGGCTTTATTAGTTTCTATTTTTGACAGCTTCGTTGCAACACTTTTACTTGTAACTTGTGGCAGGGAACCTTGTTTTCTAAATAGCAACCATTCGTTTTTTACTGTTTGGTACTCCTTGGTCAAACTCGTAAAGAACGTATTGATATGATCAGCAGTTTGTTTATCGCTCATTGGTGCATCCGTTAGAGGGTCCGTTAGACCAAAGTTCTGTTTTTTATTCCCAACAATCCGTTTCACATTTTGCCACCATTTCTTTGGGTTTTGGTTATGAAAGGGTTTTATATTTTGTGCATAAAATTTGTGCTTGGCTTTTCGAATCTCTGCTACAATTAAATTCCGTAGTACCTTGGATTGGGAGAATCTTCCAAGTTGGTATGCTTTATCTCGTTTCTGCATTAGTTGTTTAATTCTACCATTTATAAAAGGTTTATCGTCTCCTTGGATTTTAACTGACTTTGACGGAAAAAGTTTTCGATCATCTCTAATGTTATTTCTAAAAATTTATTAACCTTGTCGTTTACACAAGGGATATCCAATACAGGCGACCAATTGTACTCACTGATATACTGCTCAAATGCTTGAAGCGACGAGGATTTCAAAGGTCGGACCTTTATCAGCTTTGGCTTTTGTTCCTTTTTGTTTCCTTCTTTAGATGACCATATGATTGTACTATGGTCAGAGTTTCCAATTGGAGCTAAGATGTGTGGTGTTTGATAGAGATTCATAATATCTGTGAATATAAGGTCAAGTATTGCGGACTTTCTAGTAGGTTTTTTAACTACTTGTTTTAAGTGGCATTGGCTGGTTATATACAGCAGCGATAATTGATGTGCTTGGGCTTTCTGCTTTTAGCGTGTCGTAACAATAGCAAAAGTATTCATAGAACTTAATCAAATTTTCTTGGTCAATAGATGGTGGGATATAGACACATGCGACAGCAATTCTTGATATTACTCGAGGTAACCACTTAGGTCGCAGAATAACCCATATACACTCGAAGTTTTCGTTCCCAAGGTCATAACGGACTTTTAATGGTAAACCTTCATTGATGTAAAGTGCAACGCCTCCACCTCTACCTATGGTTCTGTCCTTCCGTATTAGATTAAAGCCAGAGATATTCATTGCTTGGTCAGGTATGTCTTCAGTTAACCACGACTCCGTGACTGCTATGATATCTGGTTTATGTTGCTCAATCATTACTACAAGTTCGGATTTCTTATTTAGGATTGATCGTGCATTAAACAGAAGTACATTTGGCATAACGTGTCTTTGTTTACTCCTAGATAACATTGAGAAATAGATAACATTGAACCGTTGTCTCCTCATTTATAAATACACGGTATAACGTCATTTGTCATAAGAACAAAGAAAGTGGCCACGAGCCGTCCTTTCATTCCAATGGTTAACGAGTGGTCACTTTTGTTCTCATCACAAATGACGTCATACAGCGTGTATCTATAACTGAACCAGTGGCAGTGAAGTGAACAGACAACGGTACAGTGTAATCTATAGTTAGGAGCTTATTATATATCTCAGTAAAATACCCCTATCCATTTAACAATTAGACAACGAGTCCGAGTTGTTTATGAGCGAATAGTCAACGAAGGCGAAGCCTGAGTTGACTATTCGCTCATAGACAACGAAGGAAGGCGAGTTTCTCTGCCATTCGGGTGAAAACAAAGCGATCTTCTCTGCCATTCTGGTGAAAACAAAAGCAATCATAACAAAATATGGTGTGAAATGATTTAAAAGTGACCTGAATTTAGCAATATACTTTTATTTAGCGATTTATTTTGCAATTCAAGATCGCACGGCCCCAGCAAAACTAGTTAGGAGCGACATCAATTCAATAATAAACAAATTAACCAATTCAGACTCAGTCCAGTCGCTTTGTAATAAACTAATGCTTTTGATGCACGATTTATTATAAAATGCGAGACACTTAGAACCATTGCTATTTGACCAAGTTTTCTGTTATGTTGTTGTTGATTTAAACTTTTATAGTAGCTGTTTAATTTTTAGGTTGCGTGAGTCAAAAACGGAAGTCAATAAATTATATTCATAAAATCCGTTTATATTAGTTTTATAGTTGTTTATTTTATCGATGAATAAAGTTTTTTCACCGAGATTATACTAAAACATGCAATTAGTCGCCTCAGACTCGGTGATTAAAGTATGTATGGAGCTTCTTTCCCTTCATCTAAAGGAATAGCGGATGTCTTTGAGACTTTAAGGCCCGTTTACACTTTGCGATGTTTGCTGCGATTTTATGCCGTGGATTCTTCCTTTGACATATGTGAACGACTAATTAGTTACGAATGTTCTGGTGTATAAGAGCCCTTATTTAAACATCAGCAACTGATTTACTCCTTCACATCTATCAAAAGAAGAAAAAAGGAACGTAAAATCGCAGCAAAAGTTGCAAGTGTAGACGGGCCTTTACCGGACAAAGTGACATACGTTTAAGATAGATCGGTCTTCCTCACGCAATTTTTAATCTCCTCAGGTCGACACAGAGCGAACGGAACGCGGCGTGAATTTTCAGAGCAGTGAAAATGCCAGAGTAGTGAAAATGTAACGTTCAGTAATATACAACGGTTGTATACATTACGATAGCACCACCAAATTGTTTGGATGTGTGTCCCTGGATGCATTTTCCCGCTGTGCTCTTTTATATTTCTTACTTAAATCCAAATTCACAAGTTTTCATAGCCACATGCACTGGCTCTATCTTCCAGGATTCGACATCCTATTATTCTTATATATAGTATCAGGTTGATCAAGATACCTTTTCCACATTGCACAACCAACGTTATCTTTCCCTAAGTTGTTGCGCTTGCGATTGGTTAATCTGATAGACTTGCCGCATTTGATTGGCTCAAGTTACCTCGAGGGACGAGGGTAGAAGCTGTACGAAACAATGTAGCACTGAATTGAAAACATTGTTAAAACTTAATTGTTTCGGGAAAGCTTGTTGTAACTATTTCCATTATAACTAAAGATTAACACAAGCAAGTGGATTTTAAGTTTTTTATTACTTGTTTTAGAAACGCGATAGACAACGATACAAACTTCAAAGCAGTAATGGCGGAACTGGACGCAGCCGCCGAAAAGGTAAAAAAGGACAAAGAGAAAATTTTGCTTCATCATGATCTTCCTCTTAGTTCGTCTTTGGCAGACGCGGGCTGGATAGCTGATACTCCCTTGAAAAGTGCGATTGAATGGTTTTATTACGACTACGAGAACGCTATAAGTGCTAAATTAACGTCTACGCGAAGTTTCACACAATCTAATGGAGGTGAAATTATTGATTCCGTTGTCACAGATCGACGGGGTTATGCGTTGATAGTCCAATACCTAGCAAAGAACTTTACAGATAAAATTCGAACAGGTACCGGTTGTAACAATGTTATAGTATAGTCATTCCGATTAACCCTGGCGAATATCGTGGCTTATTGGTCTGATTGCGAGTTATCGTCCAACAGTACGTACTGCAACATATAATCAAACAGCACTTGCTGGTTATTCATTTTCGTTTGATATTTCACACTTGGTATCTACAATCGCTTTAAAGGCGACTTTCAACTTGACGAAACTCTTCGATCGAGGAAAAATTTTCACAAATGTTTTCCGCCATCTTTCCCGCCAGTTGATGACATTTTTAGGCTAATATAAGCATATGCTGTACTATAGCAAGTATAGGTGACTCTATGCTCCTCCTTCTGGCCGGTTTATTGCATGTTTTTGCAGAAGATGTCTTGATTGCATGTTTTTGCGATTTCGAGGGTGGAAAGACTAGTACAAACTGCTTTCAGGGCAGGGAAGATGTTGTGTCGAAATGAATTTTCTGTCGAAAAGATTTTTGCCTACAGTAATTCATAGAAATATTTATATTTCATACGGCTTTATAAACGTCAAGATATTTATTATTAAAGATTAAGGTTGAAAATATACGACTTTACCTTCGATTAGTCACGTTCTGAAAAAAAAATTGTTAATTTATTCGACCATTGTTCTTCTTCAAATTTTTAAAAGGTTGCAAAATCTGCAAATCTCACTTTTCGACACATTTTCTGCCAGGCGCGTTCCCCGCCTCGTTGTCACTTTGCGCGTGTCCTCCAGCGAGACAATAATCACGCAATTGATATAAAACGAAAACACGCGCAGTGGACGAAGCTGGCACCGCTGCATTATAAGCAATCATAGGTGGCCAATTAAATGTTGCAAGCTTTTATTTTAGAATTAATATTATATATAAAATAAATGTTGTTAAGCACAATTAATATGGGAGGATAAACATTTATGGGGAACATGCATTTAAAAGAAAAGCTATACAGGTACAAAAATCTCGACAAATTAAGGCGGTGTTACACTATACAACTTTCCTTCCAAGTTGCAATGCAATTCTACCCCTGAGGCATCTAAAGTTGTCAATCAAGAACATTTCTTACGATCTGCTAACGTTTTCTTAGCATTTCGAAAACTCTATACAACTTAACTTCTCTCAAAATTATAGAATTGCATTGTAAGTAAAGTTGCATAGTGTAACACTGCCTTTAATGATGACTCAAATATTAGACCTAATTAATTCTCCCAAAACCTACATCCGATAATTGATTATTTATAAATTAATTAATAAATTATTTAATTTTCATTTACTATTCTTTTAATTTTTTACCAGGTCAAGCGGTGAGAGGAATTAACTATACTAATAATGGCGTAGCCGTTCAGACAAACGATGGTTCTGTGTTCACGGCTAAATATGCTTTGTGCACTTTCAGTACAGGCGTTTTAGCGGATCGTAAGTTTGTAAACTTTGTTCCTGAACTCCCTTCCTGGAAACGAAGAGCTATAAACAATATCCCGATGGGTTATTTTACTTTTGTTATCGTTCGTTTTGAGCACGTGTTTTGGGAGGACAATGAATATTTACTTGACGCGGGACGTATCCGTGCAAAGTTTCCCGTCATTTTCAACCGAAACAAGCGAGGAATCCAGCCTGGATCTAATCTTTTTATGTTTGTTGCTACGGGAGACGATGCCGTGCGCACTGAAATGCAACCTCAAAATACAACTGTGCAAGAGGTGATGGAGACATTGAAAGGAATGTATCCGGACGTAAATATCCCTTATCCCACAGGTGAGTACACTGATCGCTAGACTGGGACAATGCCCACGAGAATTAATAGACTAGTATTCTAAACCTCTCGCTTCTTTATTTTCCTTTCTTTCCTTTCGATTTCCCTTTATTTATAACCGCGAGACGAAACATTACCGAAACCGGGTCCGGGAAGATGCCTGGAACTAGGCTAGGGAATTAAAACAATTGAACTACCGGTAAATTTTATGATTTTAACTCCCCCGTCTTAATATTTTATTCTCAATAATAACGATTCGCTTTGGGCAACTGTCTAAATTACAGCTGCATATTTCATCATGAAAGCAATCAATCAGATTTCATTTACCGGCTCAGATTTGTAATGCTCTATTTATTAATTCTAGTTTTTCCAACATGAAGAATTGGAACATATTTAAATGTATTCTTGGCTATAGTTATAGTTTGTCTATAGTTTGTATATTTTGTCAATTAAGGCGTTTTGGAAAAGAGAAAGCTAAACCGCTTTCGAACAACTGCCCCGGATTCTTGGGTTGCAGGCTTTTTTGGTCCAATGCATTGGCCATCGCTTCAGCGGCTATTTTAGGGCTGATTAACACTAACCGATGCGATACGAGAATTTCCGTATCGTACTGTATTTAACTACACTGGCGGTCAAAAAGAACTGCTGAAAACAAGTTAAATTGCTCTCAAATGAACGTAACTGTCACTCTAACAATATATACGAGTAAATATAGACTATATTACATGCTAAGCTATATAGAATATTAATATTTTGTTGACCCTCCTTTGGCCTTATAATTGATAACGGCCTTACACCGGCGTGTCATACTTTCTGTTAAGGTGGTAATCTTAACGGTGAAAAGAAATTCATCCTATGGACAGTCTTTACAGCAACGCATAAATCATTCTTTTTTATGAATTTGTATCTAAACAGTTCTTTTTGACCGCTAGTGTACAATAAAAGATTGATTGTTACGATTCCTGTTACATACGATAATAGCAACATTTGAGCAGTTCTTTTTGACCGCCAGTGTATAATTAAATGCAAGAAAACAATTGATTTCAGAATGAACACAATAAAATATATTATCGAAGCTTTGCTTCACATTTCACAATTTATTTAACATAGGTATTATATATAATTCATGTCAGATATTCATTGCCAGAAATTGTTTCTTTTTCTGCTTCTTTCTGTATTAAAAGCCGTTTGTTCGAATGAGCGAGGCGGAATGACATGCATAGCTGGAGTATTAGAGTATCACCATTCCACAGGCCTCATATAAAATTGTCTCAGTTTATCAACCCCCTGCAGTGATCCGGTTTCAGTCTAACTAAGTACTTATAATCTTACCCCATGCATGCACGATTCCTTTGGACTGATAATATGTCTGTATCTTTTCTGTAGACGTAGTTGTATCAAAATGGGTGACAAATGAGTACGTACGTGGATCCTACAGCAATCCTGTCGTAGGAAGTACAAAAGCGGACTTCCAACATTTGGCAGGGAGAGTTGGCAACCTATTTTTTTCAGGCGAGGCAACCTCGGAAAAATACTTCGGTTTTCTACAAGGTGGCTACGTGACCGGCCTGGCACAAGCTAAGGCAATCCTCAGTTGCCTCCACGATAAAGAATGTGCTTCATAAAAAACCAGAACTGACTGGCGACGACGGTTGCAAAACTAGTAAAATGGGTCGCGGACCCATCGAGAACAGCGTATTAGTTTTGTGTTCCGTTTTAGCGGCGTTTATGACTTCTTTAATAGCCTATAGTATTAATTAAACCTTTCTGCATCTGCATGTGACTTCATCCACGAAGTCAAGAAAACTATCTGGTCCACACTTTTTTACCTTTGCCGACTCATCATTTCTTACACTTTTTACTTAATTCATAAACAGAAATACTTTCGTATAACGTTTCGTAATAACTAGTTATAACACGTGCCCTCGTCAAATATAGCGAATGCACATGAAAGTTTCTTTAAGTTTAAACTTTAAAGCCGGTAAAACACAGGCTACTACCGAATAATATATTGGATATTTTCACAAGATCACCAACAAACTATAACCTCAAAAATTCAGACTTTCATACCGAGATTTAAATCTGTAAAATACGGTAAGAACTCGCTAAGATTCTTCATGGTCCTTACCTTTGGTCGAAGTTAAGCTCACAAGATAGAAATCAGACCTCCCTATCTGTTTTTAAGTGAAGGATTAGAAAAACCAATTTGAGATGTATTGTAGCAGAGTAACATAGAAATTGAAAAACCATTCCCATCCGTATAAAAGGATAACGAAGTATAACCGACTAATGTATGATAGATCTCGTAGCACTATAGTGTTTAGGTTAGATATAACATGTAATAACTAATAGTAAGTGTCGTCAATTAGTAGGTCATTGCAGTAACCGGCTAGATATCTTTGACAGAGTAATAAAGTTTTCTATCTATCTATCTGTCTACATTGTCCTCTAAAAGGCAGAGTGAATACCCTTGAAACGAGGTTACCCTCTGATGTTAGCTTCTTACATTAAAACGTCTTCATTTATAACCGCTAAGACCTCCCTAAGCCTAGCGCGCAATATAGAGCTTTGTCCTATGGTTCCTTGTCAGTTGTCAAATATATCGTGCCCCAGGGCGTAAGGAGAAAGCTCACTAGTATAGACCTTTCCATATGACGTCACATTCGGCATCTGGAGTGCAAATTAACGTAGCATAAATCTTGCAAAAACGTAAATTTTGGGCAAAATAGAGAAATATTTACTAGTGTGAGAAACTGCTTCAAAATTGCTTTTGACCGCTATTTCAAGACATATTTCTATAAGGCAGTCGAATCTTTCAGTTTCATTACCAAAATTTGATGGTCCAGCTTAAAACGTATATCGGTCAGTGTTAAGAAAAGAGCAGCGGATTCCGTAATATTTTTAATGTTATACTCTAGCGCGCAAACTGCCGTCTGCCCCTGGGAAAGTGGAGAATATTCCAGAGGAAGGTGTTTGGATTTTTAAACAGTCAAGATTTGCTGTTTTTTTCCCAATCATTTTCGTTTTACGAAATTCAAGTCCTCTGTATATCATTGCTAGCACATTGTGTAAATACTGAGGGGTATAATTCGTGGAAAATCGTGCGAGTATTCAGACGTTAGGATTTGTCGCTTCAGTTCATAGTTCATAGTTCATAGGGATATAGTGGGACAATGATCAGCTTGAAGCCAACAGGTAAAGAAAGAACACACAAACTTTATAAATGTGATGCTTGTACCAAGAGATTTTCACGCCGTAGTCATTTGGCTAGCCATCAAAGAACGCACACAGGAGAGAGACCTTATGAATGTGATATTTGTAAAAAGAGATTTTCATATAGTAGTAATTTGTCCAGTCATCGAAGAATACACACTGAAGACAAACCGTATGAATGTGACATTTGTAAGAAGAGATTTTCACAGGGCGGTCATTTGGTTAGACATAAAAAAACACATGCTGGAGAGAGACCTTATGAATGTAATGTTTGTAAGAAAAGGTTTTTACAGGTTAGTGGTTTGGTTGGCCATCAAAGAACACACACTGGAGAGAAACCTTATGAATGTAATGTTTGTAGGAAGCCATTTTCACATGTCAATCATTTGGTTAGACATCAAAGAATACACACTGGAGAGAAACCCTATGAATGTGATGTTTGCAATAGGAGATTTTCACAGTGTAGCAGTTTAGTTAGACACCAAAGAATACACACTCCCATTGGAGAAATATCCTAGGAACAGGATGTCGTTTAAATAGGATTTTTTAATAAATAAAGCAATTTAGGGAGATGGACATTTAGCAAGGCAAGATTTCCCTAAAAACACAACAATGAAATGCATGGCTTTATGGATAAAAAATAGGCCGAGATTTACATGTGATTAAGAGCATAAATTCACTGGTTCCAAGATATCTTTGCTAACCAAACTGGTAACATTAACAACCATAGGCATGGGTTGGTTTTAGCAATTATTTTTTAACAATATATTGTACCCTTATGATAGGATTAGCATCAGAAATTTTTTAATTTATCTTAAAGTGACTCCATACAGTTTCTTGAATTTCAATAAAACTTCATGTAATAATGCATTATTATAACAAAGGCGTATTATCTATCTGCCTGCTGAAATATTCTATAATGTGACATGTCCATATCAACATATTCTTTTGCAGAAAGGAGAAAATCTTTTCAAGACAAAAACTATTTTTGCTCAACATTTTGATTTGAACAGCTTTGATAATGGTAAGCAACAAATAAGGATTGCTTTAGATCTTACCAATATAGGATGCAATATCTCTACAAAAAATTAGTCAAATGCGAAGCTGCACCCTCCAATCAGGTTCTAAGGATTATTTACCCCTAAAATAACTGTACAGCTCTTATTCGAAATTTGTTACAAAGAATAATGATTTAGAAATTACCATTAATCAAGTATCACTGCCCCGAGAATTTTGCCCCTAATCCAAAATTCCTCTGGGCCTTTTTCCTAGAAAATATGGCAAAGGAAAACATTTTTTACAATTAATGTATATTGCTGTGAGCTCGAAAATCGCGAAGCTTTTTTTAAAACCAAGATTGTAAAAGTTTTCTAGTATTCATACTTAGTTTGCAAACCGCGTCATCGCAGCGCTAAGAAGTGGAAAGTATACTGAGAATAGATGACTGGGTCTAGGATTTTATTTTCCTTCAGTTAATATACAGGTATAAAAGCTAGACTCGAATTGTCCAAGAACGCGGTTATATTAAAGAGGTTCATTGTTAGAGCTACACGTATTGTTAAAGGTCAGCTTGAGCCATGCATGCATGCAGGTCAAACTGGAAAGGGATTCGTGTAATGTTTATTGCATAGGATATGCGGAAGTCTACGTACTACTAAAGCTTGTGCTAACTTGTTTTTCAGCAAAAAGCGAAATTTGTGTTGAAAATATTCTAAACACTACAAATGAGAGGAAATTTAATCCACTGCTTTGGCCATGGATATGCCATAAGGGCTCATAATACAAATAATGTGAAGAAAGCCTTGTTTGTTTTAATATGATCAAAATTACTACTCCAAATAATCCCGGTTTTCATGATGTCATGATAATCGTAAAGTCGAAATATAGTTCGGTTTCACATTTTCTGTATTAAAATCGGTCATTGTTTACTGCCGACGCTGGTATATATAGAAACATTCCATTAAGCAAGGCGCGATTTTTTGTCGTATATTATTTTAGTCGACCGATTTTAAACAACATATCAAACTGTTTTCATATATTCCGCTTGCAGTCTGCCGACTAAATTCCAAAATCGTACGATCAAAATCGTTAATCGCGTCGTGTGCGCCTGGTGTTACATGCATATGTAGTACAATGGCAAAACGACATTTTGCATGTGCTTTTCATGAGTCTAGCTTGTTCACCTTGGGGCTGCAGTCGATCATTGTCTCTTCGCATTGTGGGTTTTTCTCAGACACGCTGAGTTTGGAAAGGGTCTCGCAACTGAAACTCCTCAGGCTCGCGACGATAAATATGCCACCCGTGGGTGTACATGACCATATCATTTCAATCGCCTGGTTTGTGATAATTTTGACGTAAGTATATGAGAATTTTTTCGAATTCCTGCCGTCTAAAATAGAACATCTGACGGCTGAAACTCCATATCATTTTTGTGGGTAGGTGGGTGTGGGGTTTGGATAAAACGCGGAATACGGAATGGCGGAAGCGGATTCCGGAAGTGGATTCCGCAAATGGGGATAAAATGCGGATTCCGGAAGCGGTTTCCGAAAATGGGGATAAAACGCGGATTCCGCAAATGGGGATAAAATGCGGAATTGCGCAAGTTGGGATAAAACGCGGAATTGCGCAGAAAAGATTAAGGAGCAGATAAAACCCCAAATGGGCAAGTTGTCGTCGACGACCCCCCTAAAGTGGTTGACAAAGTTCAAACTTCAGGTCAACTGCATTCCGAGTTATTTCCAAATATATTTTCATTACTTAGCCATACGATTTTAATATGTGTACAATTTTAAATCTATAAATGCGTTGAAAGTTCTACATGACATGGATATTTCGCATCGAGATTTAAAACCTAGCAATGTCCTGGTTTCAAACCAACACTGGGGACCTTAAGCATGTAGGACGGCAACACGACGACGACGTGGTTGGAATACTCCTTTAAATAAATGTTATGGTAAAGCGTTCTTCTATATTATCAACTGTACCAATTTAATGAGATACAAGACATTGAAAACATTGTGTTTAGGGAAAATTCTATAGAGCCTAATTCGAGGTAGCGCTCACTGGGTCATGAAATGCAGACGTTCTACATAGGACGTAATAAACGACGTTCTGCCGTTGTAAACAGAACGTAGATCACGTCTAAAACTCCCACAGGTATTTAATAATTCATTTCTTCTCAATGAAGCATTGTATTGATAGCTGCCGTCGTCGTGTTCCCGTCCTACATGCTCAAGGTCCCTACTATTGCTACTAGACAGCGGGATCTCGCTTAGACGCCTATTTCACTAAGCGGGTCAGCCTAGCTGTCATATAAACAGCCCTTAATACTGCGTAGAATTCTATTTTCATCTTTAAAATTTCAAGGTCAATAGCGTTAAAGGCGGTATGTAAACGGTTGGGGCGAATTGCTTTCTTTCAGTACAGCGCTACCTAGTAATTATTCTGCTAGAATTTGTCCGCAAAGACGACCAGAATTGTCACCATTATTTAGATTTTTAGCTCTATTTGTCAACGGGCAGGCTCGCATGTCTATAAAGTCTGTTATTTGAACACCCAACGTCCTTGGTATAGTTTAGCAAAAAACGAAACAAAGGCTTAGTCGTTTTGGACTCAGTTTCTTGATTGGCATTGTATTTCCTCATTTTAGGACAGGTTTGCTTTAGATATAATGTTAATTAAGATTGGGGCGTCAATTGAGGATCGCAGACAATGGGGTTATAGATATCAGAATATGTTTAAATTTGTACACATATTAAAATCGTATGGCTAACTAATGAAAATATATTTGGAAATAACTTTGAATGCAGTTGCCCTGAAGGTTGAACTGGCCTCAGCTGGCTCCCTCCAAACAATTTACCGGGCTCTGATTCAGCCGTACTTTGACTATTGTCAGTTCTCCTATTTGGGGTGTCTGTGATCAAAACTTAAGGGATAAACTCCAAAAATTCCAAAACCGTGCAGCCCGAATCATAACAGGTGCGAGTTATGACATTAGATCTGCTGATGTTCTTCGATCTCTTGATTGGCACAACGTAGAGACAAGACGACGTACTAGTAAATCAATACTAATGTACAAAGTCTTGAACAATTACGTAGGTCCCATGTTGAAAGAATCCTTGATTAGACGCAATCATATGCAAACTAACTATGAACTTAGAAATAGTCATACAGATTTGACTCTTCCTAATCCCAACAGGGAATTTTTAAAAAAGAGCTTTAAATATAGTGGAGCTCCCTATCGACACCAAACTGACTGAGTCGATTTATGCATTCAAAAACCTAACTCCAACGTAAATGAATATCTGAGAAATATATTGTAACATCTTCTAACCATAATATCCGGGGTCACACCAACTTGTACATAGTTTTTAATTTCTTGGTAGCTTTTTGTAATTTTTAATCTTGTAGACGTCCCCCGTGGAAATCAACGTTTTGTTGTCGGGGCTAGTGTCTTTAAGTAAAGTTTTACGGCTTACATACATACAACTTTGTCAACCACTTTAGGAGAGTAGTCGACGACAACTTGCCCATTTGGGTTTTTATCTGTTCCTTAATTTTGTTTGCGCAGTTTCGCGTTTTATCCCCATTTGCGGAATCCGCGTTTTATCCCCATTTGCGGAATCCGCTTCCGGAATCCGTTTCCGCCATTCCGTTCCGTATTCCGCGTTTCATCCCAACCCGGTGGGTGTGATTGTGATATTTGTAAACACAGATGTTTATAATTCGTTTTAAGGGACCGCGGAGCGTTTTTCGTATTGCTGGGGCTCGGAACCGCGCGCCTGCCTGCATGGGGAGTCCGGAGGAATTTTGAAATATAATCCTCTAAAAAATGGCCGCAAATGCCTCTCAATTTAAGGATTATTGGGGAAATAGTAGATACTATGTAAAGTTTCAAGCATGTTTTGAGCCCATATACAAACATTAAACAATATAACCATGCCCTTTGGTTAATGAAATCAAATATTTTGACATGATAACCACGCTTTTTTAATGGTCAAATGCTTGTCCTATGTAAAGTTGCAAGCATGTTTCATGATCATATGCATCAATAAACAATATAACCATGCTTTGGTTATGATGTCAGATGTCAAATATTATGATGGCTTAGATGGTGTATAAATATCTAAAACAAAAATAAAATCGATTGCACAAATTACTGCTAAATTCGCATATAACTTCATAGATTGCATTCCAAAAGTTCGACTGAAACAAACAAAACCGCAAGGCATGATCAAAGAACTCAAAGTGATGAGACTGTTTATGAGACTCCAGATGGTGCTATTGAAGAAATTGAGCGAAATGAGGCTGTGCGTCAGACAGACAAAGAACAGGAATCTCCAAACTACATGTCGACCGCTGAAAGACAACAAAGAACCAGCAAACGTTTATCAGGCATTGCACCTCCCTGGTACTAGTGCTAATCGATACCATACTAAGGGGGTGGGTGGGGTGTCCAATCAGTGGAATATCAAAATACTCTTTTTGATGCAGATCAGTGCAGTAGTGATTAATTTTTGAATAAAAGGAAATTTTACAAATCTTATAGTATAGACATATCAATTCTTATAACAAAATCGTAAAATTTTGTAAACTATTGGTACAATTTATACCCTTTTACTTTGCTGTGTATATAATGATGACGTTTGGCAGGCGGAGTGCCAATCACGCAGTAATTCGTATCGATTATGTAGTAATAATGTCTTTGGAAGACATTGCCAATAAGGAATCTTCAAATTTTCTACACAGAGAGCATGCACAGTTGAAAATCGAAATAAGTAGGAAAGAAGTATAAACATAAGATAATCACTAGAATTGCCATTTTTAGCGTATTTGAGTTTAGGACTATAGAGGTAAATTCAGGTGTCTATTCAAATGCAAATATGAGTAAAACAGAGAAAAGTAAGAGGTTCAGAAAGAGAGTGATGATCATGGTTAACACGTAGAATACTATATATATTTTAATACGATATATATTTTCTCTGTTTCGTGGGATGCAACAAATAATTTTTCAACAATGAAGAAAATCGCGCGACATATATGTGTCCCTATACACATCGCCATGCAATTGCATAGAAATTTAGGACCCCTTGAATCAATCAATAGACAGGCTTTTTCCCTATAGTACCATTTTCAATCTCCTTTCACCTAAATAACTCTCTTCGCCTCCTCCTTTTAAGATTCCCTGCCTTTATATGCTTGATCACGTCGATAGTTAGGTTCAGTAACACAGTACGGCGATAAAGTGAAAGACGTTCATTGCACGTTCTTTTTCTTTTATAGACCTAAATTTACTGCGAGTTATTGTACCTAGCCTAATTTCACAATTCATTTATTTCTACTCAACGCAGTTAACTACAGTTTCAGCATTTCTTGGACGATTGGAATGCATTTTAACTCCCAATCCAGGAGTACAGGATTTATGCTTTAAAACATAACAAGACGCCTGTTCTGGCGTTAACTCCGGCGCACGTTCCAGTCTTTAATACAAAGCAAATGCATTTAGATGCATTGCGCATTTCAGACTTGCGACGACGAAAAATAAAAAAACAACAAAACAAAACCGGGGCGAATTTCAACTCTGTCGCTGCCGCCGGAGTAATTAATGGTTTACCTTAGGTAAATTCTGTCGAATTGCAGTAGCTATGCCGCAAATTTGCGTGTAATTAGAATCAGATTTTCTTAGCTCACCCTGTGCTTTACAGCATAAGCAACCAAACAGCTCTCTCAGCCCTTCCCTGAAGGGATTAAGACAGGAATTGACAAATGCTATGCTCTTGACGATGAAATGGGTGGTCGTACCGAGCTCCGTCAAGTTCACTAGGGACAATGCGTAATAGAGTTGATCTGGCAGCCAACATACGATTATTACGTTCGAGGCAAGAAAAGCTGTCCTTGTGACTTTCCTTAGAGATTTTAAAGCGATAGTTTGTCTGGCCTTTTCCTTATTGTTCCTAATTGTGGCGACTCGTCTTTGGGATCTCCTCATGTGGACAATAATCCGTCTGTAGGCTATCACCATGAGTATCCCAGGAACGATTACCATGCCCAGAAACGTGAATGTCGCGACGAGAACATTTTTTGAAGAGTATTCTTGCGTTTTCCACGAGCATTTGGCGGTGCCGTTGACATCAATCGCGGTTGCCCTCAATGGCGTTGTAACTTCTAAGCACATTCCAGCGATCCAAGGAAAAAGCACGGTCAAGAAGACGACAATTTTCGACTGTTCATATTTTTTATAAGACAAAGGCATAACAACCGCCAGAAACCGATCAAAAGTCAACATGAGGCAGGTGTACACAGAGGTTATCCCTAACGTGAAAATAAAGTATTCGGACCAGAATATCTTGCAAAACACCCATCGCGATGTTGCGTCCGAAGGTAACGTATAGACGTTTTCGTGCAAAATGTATCCAGGTAAAATCATGATACAGACGGCTTGGAGAATATCTTGAATCGCAAGAGCGAAAATTAAACAGTTATAGGTCTTTCTCAACCACGTTGGATTCTTGATGAAGAGCAGGACTGTTAAAGTGTTCCCAAGAGATGCAACGATTGCGATGATTGCAAGGATAACCTTTTCGTGCTGCATCTTCAGTATTTGCTGTGCCCTGGTTGAACTTATTTCTTGTTGCGTGCTCGATGTATTCTAGCTAATATAAAGATTTAAGTAGCTAACTCAGAGCAGAGTAGAGCCAACCTTAACTTCTTTGGATGATGATTCTCGATAAAAGATATTTTGTCATTTGTCAACATGAAAGGATGTTATGTTCTGCTTACCTAATGGTTTCTCTTTCTTAATCTTTTGCACAATTTTTATATTGCTTCGTTCCATTCTTGCATAACTGTCTTGCATGTTTATTCATATATCAATTATAGCGCTGATAAACTGTTCAGTTTAACTGCGTATGGTGATCAGCCACCTGCCTAAACTCTTTAGCAAACGCTAATGGATATGAATAAGATTTGCTCGGTTCTTCTATATCGTTCGCATGCAAGCAAATTTTTGTTTGCGAGCCGGCTCACTCAGTTGGTACAATCAAGTAATTGTCAATGAAATGTCTATATATATTGTCGAGTCATTTTCCGGGAGGGAAAATGCAAAGCGCTAATTTATGTCGACGACCATGTTATTTAGATAATTGTAAGTAATTTTACTCTTTACAAAATATGCTCCGATATGTTTTGTGAAAATATTAAGGTATATTTCCTTTGCAACGTAATTTAAAAGCCGCTATTGAAATTTTGATGTTAAATTATATCTTACTTCATGAATATAATCGCACAATTTGTTTCTGCAGCTTTTTTTGATAAAAAATGCTAATTTCGATAAGAATAAATGAACGATTTCACGCTTATTATTTTCAATGCTTTTCACATTTTTCGTTGCCTCTCTTGAAAGGGGATCGTCTGTGGATAACACGGATCATTCAAAGTTAAATCCATGTTGTACGATAACGCCTAAACTAACAATCCCGATTTGCTGGAATAGTTGATTGACAGGAACGACATTGATCAACTTCCATGCATAAATATTTAGTCTGAACTGTTGAATATTTTCTATTGCGTGCAACTCTCAAAATTATACTCACTACACGGATGCCAAGACGTTTGCTTAGATTGCAGACTGTACTGTACTTAAATTTTTTACTATCGAGTGATCTGTTATTCCCAGTGAACTGGTTATTCCTCGCCCAGTTGTTGAAGCACATACGGCCATGCATGCAAACTCGCAGCAAGGGGCGATTTAATTATGAAGCTTTTGTCATTAGAAAGATTTAGATGGTGACACCTTGCGAATATAACATGGGCCGGTAGTACGAAAGCTGGATAGCGCTATCCACCAGATAGTGATTTTTTTTTTGAATCGCTCTAAAAATGCTTGTTGTTCAGTATAACCTGGATTAAACCAGAGTAGATCCTAACTATCGAACCATAGTGGATTCTTATTGAGCTACTGTGGCAATATAACATCGACATCATCATTTTCAAGAAGCATTAGCTGTAAAACCGTAGTAAAACCTATACATTTTGGACTTGAGGATATTGATTTCTGGTTTAAACGGTGAATAGAAGCACATTATTTGTTTTAGAAATTCCAAGTGAAACTAAATTTTGCGTACCTTTATATTAGCACAAGCAAGGTAAACAACTATATAAAGAATTACTTGAAATATTGGCCATAATTCATATTGAAAGTCTTATTAATTGTTCATTATTCATGTCATTGTGCAGATATTGTTGTAAAATATGCATGAATAAATGAAATAACCACACAGTTAATAAAAGACCGTGCAAGTTAAATCACTAGCTTTTAATTTCAGAATTGCCATAAAAAGGATTCTTTGTTCAAAACGCACATTGATAGCGTCCGCGGTTGAATGAAGTCGATCATCGACTGACGATTCTGCTTTATCGTCAAAATATATCATCGCTCGATATGTATCTGAGTTGAGACGTGACCACATATTATTGTCTGCTACAAATTGCTATTTTAATTATCATAATCATATGCATGATTTTAGGGCTGATATGTCTCGTGTATACACGAGATAAAAATCATAGCCCTGGTGGGGCCAGCCTCCCTGTGGGGTTGTTTATGTAAGCAGCCCCTGGTCGACTAAGTCAAATATGAAATATATTCAGAATGTATTTCTTTATTTCTTCAGAATTTAATAAATAAATATATACTAAGAATGATTTGGTGTAATGCCCAGTTTCAAAATCAATTAAATTAGTTTTCAAAACATATGGCCACGATAGGGCGTTATAACTGTTTGATATATATAGAAAATGAAGTAGGAATGCTTTCATTCGAGAGATCTACACATAAAATATCATGTTGCATGCGTCATCCACCCGCAACGATTGAAAATGTGTTTGTAATCCATATTTAACGAAAATCAAGCATTATACACCCCAGGTTATAATGCGCCATTTTGTCTTCTGCAGAACGTCTTTTGAACCATCGTTATGAGGTCTTTGCTTTATTTGAAATAATATTCAGAGCGTCTCCATCCCCAGAGTGCACAAATATATATTTTTGATAATATCTATAATTATTTTCGTAGGAATTGGACATATATTTTTATGCACGACTTCAAAAGAGAGGTTCTTCAGTCATTAATTCCGCCTTCTAGCTCCTGCCTTCTCTCCCCCTGTCCAATATCTGCATTCACCCCCATGGTATTTTTTCACCTCAGCCTACAGTCGCACGCAGCCCCAAGGTGTTCCTTCTCCGAGAAATAAAATTGAAAAAAGATGATGAAAAGAATCTGGATGGTATTTTACCAGCCGGTTGCAATCTGGATTGAAGTTCACCTCAAGTAGTACAGGCTGCATCCTTTCTGAACCTTTAATTGCACAAATAATAAATTCTTATCTCCGGATTGCATGGTCTACATAGCGTTATGTTACTTCGTGTCTCGCCTTTTTTTTTTTTTCTTGTGGTCCGAATTCATATTTTAGCGTTTCCTGCAATCTGATTGGCTACGCGAGCGGTCCGTATGAGGCCGTACGGACCGCGCGAGATTTAAAAGCACAGAGCCAACGCTCATGCAGAAATGAATTCGGACGGCAAGAATAAAATAAATCTATTATTTACCAGTTTATTCTGTTCGTATAGGGAAATATTTCCCGAGGTCTTAAAAACAGCCCGAGGCCGAAGGCCGAGGGACGTTTTGAGACCGAGGACGGACCTCCAATCTGGTAAATAACATATATTTTATATATATATATATATATATATATATATATATATAAAATATATTATATATATATATATATATATATATATATATATATATATTTATATATATATATATATATCGGTCGAGAAACGTGTTTCCATAACTGTATATATAAATATATAATCTATAACTATAATCTATAACTGTATACATATATATAAATAGAAAACATTTTTTCCTGTGTTTATATACATGCAGTTATTCTGCTCCTATACAGTTTATATACAGTTATTCTATTTCTATTCCTTAAATACGAAACATACGTGGACCTACCTTTATCCTTCCATTTTAGCATGAAATCCAAAGCATAGTAAGCGCGAGACTAAAAAAAAAGGAAATTCGCTCATCGTAAACATCGTCATCATTGTATGCATGTAAAGGGTCCAAAATACACTCTATTTTCGTTGGATATGTTCTTATACTTTTACGTAGCCATTGAAATAGAATAAAGTCTAGAAATTTTCAACCTTACCTAGTCTTTTGTAAATAAAAACACTTTTCACGGAGGAAATGAGTTTTAGGCATTATTATTTTTCAGCGAGTTTAAACTTGAGCAACATTTACGATTTGCGACTCTTACCTTGAACGTCCCCCCCCCCTAAACAGTCGTAAAGCTTAGAAAATTGACGCTATCGAACGAAACTTTCGCTGTTTTCACTCCTTGAAGCTCTCCCTAGTCTTTTTAAAGGTGTTTTTCTTTTGCGCGGTTCCAGCCTTAATCAACGATTAGTTTTGAAATCAGCTTCATCCATTCATAGGATTTTAGAGACTTCATAAATAGAGTTATCGTTCCAGTTTTATTAGAACCCACCGATACAGTTAGTAGATTTCTATGTAAAGCATAGCATAAATATCGAATGTAAAAAAATACCATTTTACAATGACCAATTCCTTTAGGTGGCAGTTCTGACGTTGCTGCTTCAAAAAGTTCTTTTATAATCTTGTGAACCTCGTTCTTCAAATAAGAAAACAGTGTAAGGATGTATAATTTATGTTTTCCCTTTCATGATCAGAGGGGAAATGCCTAAATCAAAACACAAACATTTACCTCAACATCCTGCCACTTGTAACCCGGATATTGATGATCAAACATTTCCGGGAACTCGTGATGATGGACCTATCAAAACGGAAATTAGTTCACCATAAGTTAATCCGTAATTCTAGTAAAATTGCACGCCATAACAAACTATATTTTATTTATTGTTTCAAACATGAACATGTCTTTAACGAGGAAATAATACCACTCTTGGAGATCAAACGTGGCTACGGATCTCACCTGTTTTAGTGTAACTTCTTGACGATAATTCATCGTGGTAAAATGCTTTTCATAAACATCAAAATCATCCAATGAAAAAGGTCTGCAAGAAAGTTACACAATTGAAAATCGAATGACTTTCTTCATCTTAAAAGAAATTAAAGCCATTGGTGCAGTCTAGGTATTAGTCTTGTCTATAGGTATTTAAAGGGAATTACTTGTTAGCACAGCCAATCCAGAATACTTCGTCAACATCTATTATCAAAGGATCAACACTAGTGACAGCTGCCATATAGCGGAAGTGAAATTTCACTTTACCGACGTCTTCCCTTTCAAATAAGACAGGATTGTGGATATACTTGAAAGCAATCTATGGGATAAACAAAATATTAAAAAATCCGAGAAAAATCAGTCATGCTATAATGTTTTTTTCTATAATAGAGCTATGCGTCCGACATCTTAAATTACCAGACGTAATATGCATTGTGCCACGAAAATATTAAAGAGAATCAATTTGGGTAGAACAAGTGGTGCAATTGATACCAGTTCATTTTTTTAAAGTACATGTGTCCACTGGCTGCACACAAT